ACAACATTCACAAACAATTCACAACAATTCACAGACATTCACAAACCAGGACACACGGATGCGTGCTGATCAAAGGCACACTTAGCATGGGGAAAACAACACAACCATCCTACTGGACCGCAATCGCCACTTCAACAGCAATGCCTAGGCATGCCACGGGCAAAAAACACGCGCACCAAGGCATCTTGATTGCCGCTGACGGTGCCTGGAAAGCCTTGCAAACTCACATCTTTCACACCCAGCACCAGCACGAACCCATGCTGCTCGCTGCAGCCGCTTCACACAGACACCTGCTACAACCAACACTCCCTGCTTTCTTGCAAAACCACACGAAATCTGCAGCTTCCACACGGTCACAGGTACCCGCCTCAACCACACCGGCCTCCACGTCACAGACGGCCTCAACAACGCTCACCTCTCTGGGACCATGGCGGGAAGAATAGCTTCTCCAAATACACCAAACACCCCAATGACGAATGGACGCTCCACCATCGCCGACTCCTGGACAAACACTCATGGCCTCAACCGTGCCTGCGACCGAGGAACAACGCACCTCCTCAACGCACCTGCTCGCCAGCCCAGGGCATCGCCCTCCGACGCCTCCCTCTGCAGGCCTGTCTGGCAACAAACACCTCACACATCGACACCCGACACGTCACTCCATTCAACCACAAAATCGTAGCCCCCTGGGCAGCCTACAACACTTTCGGACATTTCTTTGCGGACTTTTTTCAACACACATTGCCTTGGACCTCACATTTCAGCACCAACGACAGAACCACGGTGTGCTTCCCAAAAATGACCACGAGAGGGCAGCACACGATCGCTTCGACGCAACGAGGCTCTCACAGGCAGCATCCTTTCCTCTTGGCTGCTCCGACCTGCTCTCTTGCCGCTCCAAAGAAAAGAAAACTGGCTCCTTTACAAATCGCCGCCTTCTCAGGCGCCAGGCCACAACCAACCACAAACGCAAATCTTACCCTTTGCCTCCCTTCCTGGAATGCAATGGGCCCCAGGCGACAACATGGAAAGCCTTTTGGCTTTTCAAAAACACTTCTCGGGACCTTCTTTCCACAAAATACAACATTAAAGCAATGACCCCCTTGGCTTGGCTTCATCCACAAACAAGGATAGTTTCTTCGGGGATCTTTCACAAATCGTGCAACACAGGCATAAACCACACAAAACACACATACAAACATCCACCGCAGGGAGACACCTCCACAATGACTTGCCTCCTGCTCCACACACACTGCAAGGGGACCATGCGCTTCAGGACACTCACAAAGAACTGCTCAGCTCCACAAGCCTGCTCTTCAGCCTGCACCACGTGCTGGCTCCTCAAAACTCTGCCCACACCAAAGGCTCACCAATGGCCACCGCACCTCTACCATTGGCAAACATTCACGCTGCTTGCCACCTTTCCGTCACCTACTGTGTCCGGGACCCAAAAACACTTCTGGGACAAGGCATGTCCATGAAAATCATCCAAGGGACACATCTTCCTCATCAGACACAATCCGTATCATTCAATAAAACTAGGCTGTTCCGTTACAAAAACAGACAAAAACCAAGCAACGCTTACACAAATGGAATGACATTCATGACACGCGGGCCCACAGGAAAATGTCTCTCAAATTCGGACTCACATCGCACACAAACTTGCCCGTATTGACGCTATCTGACCCTCTTTCTCTCCCCAATAGGGGATTTTTCCAGGGCCCTTAGAAAGGTCTTCAAGGGCCCTAGGTACTGGCACTTGGAGACCTCCACCCAACACTTAGCCTCACACCAGCACTCATCACTTCATCTGCACAACGTTGAATGACCTACCTCTCTCAAATGGGAGGACTCTTCTTTTCCTTATTATTGAACCCAGCAAGCATGGACACAAGCCACACATACCAGGCTTCACATTTAAAACACCACTTTCTAGACAACATGGATACTTCAGGGGGGCTCCACATGCTCCTCTTAGAAAGCCTTCACACCTAAACAGGACGCCTTCCTTCAGGATCACATGCCCCTCCTAAAACCACCTATCGCCACGCACATACCTTAGGAACACGTGGGGGACAATGACAGCTTCCTTCCTAACTTCAACAACACTTGCACACCAACATGCAAACTCAAAAACCACGGCCCCTCCACATTCACACCCACCTTGGCAACACTCCAGACAACTTTCACATCCACAAGCTCCTTCGGCAAAATTGACAAAATCACAAGCTTCAAATACACACACATGTGTCCACCCTGTCCTCTGCACTGAATTCACACCATGGGCAGGATGCACCAAAAACCCACAAACACCAAAATCGGACCTAGCATCACAGCCCAAAGACGACTCACGGGGACATAGGGGGACACCTCAAACACATCATTTCTACCACAGCCTTCACTCAACCTGCCCAATGCCACACACAAAACGGCTCAGGACACAACACACAGGACACACGCACATGGCTGCCGCCTAACAAACAAAACTCACACCAACAAACGGGACCCAAGCCTCAGCCGCCACACCTAGGACCCCAACACTCCTCCAGGACACTCTGGCACCTCCCACATCACACCTGGGGGGGGGACACTCCTCACATCCTGCAAACACACACAACCTCACTCTCAGCCTCCCACACAGCCAGCGCTACAAACATGGAGCCGTCAGGGCCATGGACCTGGCTTGCACCCACATACCCAGGAAGGGCTGCAAAGGAAGCAGCTCAAGGATGTTTCTCTCTCATCCATGTTGATGACTCTCTACCCCACTCCCTTCCTCTAGGTGAAAAATCAACACAATATGCTTTTTGAAAAAATTGGAAACTTCCAACCTCTCTCCACCCTCTTCTTCAAAGGCTGCAACACGGAAAAGGACAAACACGGATGTCTACATCAATACATACAGGAAATCTCAGTGTTTTCCAGATCTCAATGACCAACAATTCACAACATGAAAAACACAACATCAAAACCAGACAAAAAACACACTCTGATGACCAAAAACCAAGCATGGAGGTACAACAGGAAGACGAGGGCATGAGCACACCTGCCACCTAAGGCCATGGCACCCTCACCAAAAAACACAAACACATGGCAACCATGCTCTCCAGGGCAGCCATCATGCCAGCCTTGCATGCATAAAACTTCAGCCTCTGGGTCTGCACCACTGCCCTCCCAACACTCACAACAGATTCCTCTCACACTGCTGCACTCACATGGCCTGCAACCTGACAATACATCTTCCTTGCTATCTGTTTCAAGGCACAGTGCTGACGACCTCTCACGGGCTGAAGCTCGACCATTGACAAACACCCACCCGCTATGGCTTCTCTTCACTTTTACAAGGGTCCATTTCAAAATGTTCCCACACACCTGGACTACAAATGCACATCTTCTCCTGCGCCTCTTGCCACCCCTTGCTACACGCCTTTGCCCATCCTAAAGGAAACTTTTAGATGCACAAACCCGTGCTGATTCATTCACCAACTTCCTCAAGCCAGCACACTTCCAAAGCCAAACTCAGTAACTGGGTGTCAAATAAACTCAGGAAACACAACACATCTTTCACCATCACAACATCGGGGCATACTACCTCTTCTTCTTTTCACTATGTTTGGGACATGGATGCTACAAAAAATGGCTACAATCACTACATTGGGTCTTTCCGTCTCTAAAACAATCATTCCGAATGGGCATACACCCCTTGGAATGGAAACATGGACAACAGCAGGACACGATGACGAAACTGCCTCATCAGGAACATCCACAAGAGCCCTTGTGTCTCTGTCTGTCCATGCTGCTGCCTGACAGAACTCCACGTGCAAACACCTGGGCCTGCTGCAAAACCAGGGGGAGCCAACTCCAAATGGACAACCAAGCTTTGCAGACCTCATGCTCTCTCATACACGTCCCTCTCACCCAGGATCTCATGCCACTCACTGGCCACTGACACAACAACAGCACCTTTGCAGGCTGGGCAACAAACGGGGGATCCACTCACCTGCTCTGAAACACAAACATCTCCTCCTTGCCACAATGTCCCCTCAAAAACATCATCACCCTGTCCAATCTCTTGGGGACTTCAGCATTCCCCACAACTCTCTTACACCTGATGCCAGCACTCACAAATCTTCGGAGCAGCTGCTTCTGGGGACAGTTTCTTTGCACAAGGCAAAGGAAATGGCAGCAAGTGTCATGTGGAACACTCCTATGCACAGAGTCCTGGAAAAAACGATGCCATTGCCATGTCAACAATGGGAGCCTCTTTCCCTACCGTGATTGAGGACTTGGCGGGGGGGGGGGGGATCTGAACATCTCAGAACCAACCATTCAGCCACAGCTGCACACTCGTCTTTTCCCACATCAACCCAATCATGACACAGAACCTCGGGAACAGGGGAAATCGGCCCCTTGGAATACTCTTTTCTGCGGGTCTCAGCTGACTCAGGAAGAGTCATGACATCCTGTGCAAGAGGGATGTGTATCAGAGACCATCAGCTATGCAGATCTTCGTCCTTCCTTTGGACTCGGCTCCCCCTGGTCTGGAAGCAGGTCCAAGTGTTGGCACCTGGATTTATCTCAGCAGCAGCCCAGACAGACAGAAAAACAGACAGACGGACAGAGACACAAGGGCTCTTGTCCAAGTTCCTGATCACAAAGTTTGCTAATAGACTAATGCTCTTGTCCATATTTCAATTCGAAGGAGCGTATGCCCATTCGGAATGACTGTTTTAGAGACAGAAAGACCCAATGTTGTGATTGGTCCCATTTTTTCTAGCATCCATGTCCCAAACACAGTGAAAACAACAAAACCTAAGATGCCCCCATGTTCTGATCGTGAAAGATGTGTTGTGTTTCCTCACTGTATTTCACGCACCGTGCAGGTGGTCTAAAACGGTGAATGGTGACGCAGAGATGAGATCGGCAAGCAGCATTCACTTTTAGAGAAGCAGAGGGCTACTGCTCGCTCTTGCAAGTAGCAAAACCTCCAAAATTCTCATGGCTTTTATTGGGGAGTTCAGCAAGTGACAATGATGAACAGGCATGCCTAGGACATCATCTGAGCTAAGTTATACATTAAAACAGGGGTCCTCAAACGACGGCCCACGGGCCACATGCAGCCAGACGAAAACATTTATCCGGCCCGATGGGTGTTTTTGCCGCCGCTGCCTGTTGCTTAGCAGCCGACTCTCGTCCAGGGCCCACAGTGCACATGTGTGGAATGGGCGCCGCAATCTCCGACTCCCCTCCTTCTCTCTGTCTCTCCACTCCTCCTCTCAGTCTCCGGTGTGATCGGATGAGTCACAAGCTTGTCTGTGGAGAGCCTGCTGCAGCCTGAGGACCGAGGTAAGAACAAGTTAGGATTTTTTTTTTTAAGTTAGGAGGCATATATTTTTTTTTTATTTTGCGATTACTAGGGCCTTTTTTTGAAGTTGGATAGTTGGTTGGGGGTGGTTTCTAGGTAGGGTGCATCACAGTGATAACGCAAATTGTCAGTGCTCAGAGGTAATGCAAATACTCAGTGCTCAGTGGTAATGATAATTGCAAATGGTCAGTGCTCAGTGTTATCGCATGGGGGCCCTAAACTGGTAATCTGCCTAGGGCCCTATGGGAACTTAATCCGGCTCTGCGGACAGCCGAGGAGTAGGAACCCCAATTTAATTGACGGTAACTGCATTTATATTTTGATTGCTATTCAGTTGTGTATGATGTTGTATGTTGTGTGCTGTGTAAGCCCTGGTTCACACTGTTGCGATCTCTGAGAAGTGCGAGTTCAGCCATAGGCTTCTATGCCTGAACTTGCATTAGATTCGGAAGAAAAAAGGCATACGTGCCTGCTTTTTTCCTGCAGCGGAATCTGATCTCATGGGTCTTCTCAACCATGGGATCAGATACCTGTGCGAGTTCACAGATCACAGTTCGGTTCTCACAGGGTAGTGTGAACTGGAAAGGTGGTGGAGGAACCGGCTCTGTCATCGTGCCGGTTCCCACACCACACCCGTGTGAGCCTGAGGTAAAAGCGGAGTTCCACCAATATGGGCACTGGTGACACTGAAATGATGTGGACTTGGAAAGCTGCATGGATGCACACTGATCAGACTGCATTAATGGGCAGTGCAGTCTGTATGTCTCTGTGTGGGCAGTTACTGTTGTATACTGTTTTTGCAGTGCTGTATATATATATTGGTATTTTACTAAAAGCAATTTGGAATCCCTAGGAAACAATGATGTCAAGAAAGAGAGAAATTGACTTGGAGTGTAGGATATTCAAAAAACAGTGGACTTAGGATTACTTTTTCATGCAGTACAAGGAAAGAGCTGCTGTATGTTTGATATGCCAGAATAGAGTGTCTGTGTTCAAAGAATACAATTTGCGTCGACACTATCTAACTCAACATAAAGATAAATGATTGTTTGGTCGCAGAAGTGAGAAAAGATAAAATATTACAATTTATATTCCCATTGAAATACTGGTAAGTTCGTTGATTTAACTTTACTTGTTCTTCATTTTAAATATTGTATTTGTTCACGTTATGCTTTTTTACTTCAAAATAAGATATGTGCAGTGTGCATAAGACTTTGTTCATAGTTTTTCTTAAAGCTATACTACGGACCTCCAACGGTATGAGGGGCAGTGAACTGGCCCCCTGTTTAAAACCTTTGAGGACCCCTGCCTAACAACAATCATGCTGAAGCTACACAACCTGGACTTATGACATACAATAGGAAAACCGCCTTCCGCTTTGGCCTTAGACCTTCACAGTGGAACAATACAATAGGAACCATACAATACAAATAACAAACTAGCCCTGATCATGGAACACACACACTAACCTATACAATAGAATGTAAAAACATAGACAATACATAAGATTTAAATCAGCAGACCTAAATACAAAGGAGATTTTCACCAAAGGTCAGATAAGAAACTGTAAACGCAAAACAAGAAACTTTAACAGCTCAAAGGAGGACCCAAAACATACCGTGATGGAACGATGGACGCATGCTTATAGACTCAAAGACTATAAACACACTTGTAACCGCGCAATAAACGCAGAACCTGATGATGCTGATCAGCTCAACGCTGTCTCCGTGCCCTTCATTCTTCACCTCTCCTGGCCACTGCGGCTTCCGTGGTGTGTCTGGCCCTCAGTCTGTGTGTCCCTAGGTTTGTGTGTCCCTCGGTCACCTACACCAGCTCAGTCTGCTCCCATCTTCTCAGTGGGGGGGGACTCTGGGAGCAGTGACACCACGCAGTAGACGGGAACACCTGCAGGACCCTCTATCCATTTCCCGCCTCCTTCACACCTCACTTGCCCCTGCTCCTCCCGGCCTCGCCCCCGAGAACCTCTCCCCTGACATGGTGGCCGGGGAGACTCTTCAAGGACCCTGATAAAGTGGCCTCGTCCTGTTGTGTCAGGAACCTGGCAGCTGAGGGACACTCGAACATTTCATTTTTATCTTATACACACATCACATGGAAAAACATCAGCAGAGTTGAATGCTCTGCTCATCATGGTGCCTTTCTTGGTGCATATGGTGCTTTTTCACACCCTCCAACTCTTTTCCTTGTTTGTACTTTTTTCGTCTGTATGTTTTGCTTAATTCTTTACAGAGGAGATGTTTTCACCATTCATTTTCTTAGAGAGCGTGGAAGGGCGGGAGGAGAGAGAGAAAATAATAAAAAGCAAACATGAGTATACAACAGACACATGCATCTTTGGCTCCCACAGGAGCCCAGACCGGGGCAGGTGATGAAACATGCATCCCAGGTATGTGCTCTGGACCAGGAATCCTGACAGCGACCCTTCCCTGGCCATCCGAACGTCTAACCGCCGAGCAACACTGGCCAGGGCCTATTCCTTCCGCTTAGCACATGACAACACATATCACTCTTTCTTCTTGCACAAGGAACACAGCCAATCGATGATCATCACTCATTATTCATGCTTCTCTCTTCCTTTCGGAAATAGGACAAATAAATATTGCTCAAGAACACACTGTAGCCCTGACCGCTGTCGCTCAGTGGGTACAGCGACGGCCTGCAAACTAAAAGGTCCCTAGTTCGATTGCTAATCAGGGCACATGCCCTGCTTGTGGGCTCGATCCCTAGTGGGGGGAGGGGTACAGGAGGAAGCTGATCCATGATTCTCTCTCATAATTGATGTTTCCATTTCTCTCCCTCCCTCCATCCCTCCCTCCCTTCCTTCCTCCCTTCCTCTCCCTTCATCTCTGAAATCAATAAAAAATAGTTTTTAAAAATTCACTATATTTCCACAAAAAACTTTACATGGAATTTTTTTCTCGTGGTAATAACACATTCCCATGAGAACACTGCATCTGGAGGTACCATCAACAATCACAGCCTCCCTGCTACTGATGGCATCAATACTAGCAGCCTACAGGGGAGGGACTGCCTCAGGAATGCCCACCTCGAATCTACTCATTGCATCCATCATTGCAGCCTCCAGGGGACTGGCTGCCTCAGTCAACGAGGCCTCTCCAGGGGCCGCTGAGTCGAGCGGGAATAATGCCTTCTCCCGATACCCCTGCACCTCGCTGCACACAATGGCTGCCTCCATAATGGGGTCATCCAAGGGACTGCCTGCCGCAATCACAACGGCCTCCGGCTGACTGGCTGCTTCAGGAAAGGTAAACTGTCCGATACTGGCTGCCTTGTTAATGGCGGCCTCCCCAGGACTGACTGCTTCAATCATAGCAGCCTCTAGGTTACACACTGACACAGTGAACGCACAGCTTCCCCGTGTCACTGCAGCAGCCAAGGCCTCCCTTTCCAGGGCTGGGACCGGAAAGGGTGCAAAATCCAGACCCGTGACTTCAGTCCATCCAGGGAAAAAATAATGGCACCCTGGACAGCATCCATCATTTTCTACGATTTTCTGTGGTCTTTGTTGGTTGCTTTCTTTGTATTTTCGTAAAAATATTTTTATTGATTTTTTGACAGACAGGAAGGGAGAGGGATAGAGAGAGAACCATCCATCAGCTGCTTCCTGCACACCCTCTACTGGGGATGTGACCTCAACCAAGGTATATGCCCTTCACTGGAATCATCCGCAGGCTGATGCTCTAACCACTCAGTCAAAACAGTCAGGGCTGTTTGTGTTTTTTGGGGATACAAGTCTTCATCAAATTCAAAGAACATTAGCTAACATTTCAGCACCACGGACAGAGATGGAGGTGGTATTCTTTACAGGGCCACAAGAGGGCACCAGAGGATACTTTTCGCAAAGGAATTGGCTGACAGATTCTTTAAAGGTTTCGGTCATAAGTATATAAGTGCATAGATGTAATACTTAACCTGAACAACTGGGAAACAGTCCCCTAGAAACTGCTCACCAGGAACATAGTAACCAATAACCATTGGCCTAATAAATACTATCAAGCAACCTGGTAGCGAATAACTAGAAAATTAGTACCTAGTAACCTAATAACTGGCAACTGGGAAACTTTGGAACCTAGTGACCTGGAAACCATTACCTGCTAATTATTGACCTAAAACTAGTAAGTAGTCATCCTTAACCTAGTGGACTGGTTACCAGTACACCGGTAACTAGGAACCAGTAACCTCGTAACTAGCCACCAGTGACCTCAGTAAAGGCGACCGGTCCATCCTCGCTGCATCATTCTTGGAGGACAGGCAGTACAAGCGGCCTAGAGGGTAATAAATGCTTCCACAACGGCAAACCCCCCCAAAGTCCCCTGCACTCCAGAGACATTATGACCACGCTGTACCAACTTCCTGCGGACTCCAGGGTACACAGACGGCGGCATAAACCATACTCGCTGCTTCAGTATACGCCGGTGCAGCCTGCGGGCTGCCTCAGTAAGCGCCACCTGCCCCGTACGGGCCGCCTCGGTTCCGGAAGCAATGCCGTACGGACGGACTCAGTCATGGCGGACTTTAATGCATGCTGCACCTACGTAGCCGCGCACTCTCGCGACGTCGCCCGGTCTCGCGGTACTTGACACCCAAGCTGTACGGACTTCCGGCCTCAGCAATGGCGGCTTCCGGCCCGGCCTGCCTCACTCATGGCGGCCGCCACCGGACGGAAGGCCGCACTCATAGCGGACTCCAAGGTACACGGACGGCGGCCTAAACCATATTCCCTGCTTCAGTATATGCCACTGCAGCCCGCGGGCTGCCTCAGTAAGCACTACCTGCCCCGTATGGGCCGCCTCGGTTCCGGAAGCAATGCCGTACGGACGGACTCAGTCATGGCGGACTCCTACGTATGCTGCACCTACGTAACGGCGTACTCTCGCGAAGTCGCCCGGTCTCGCGGTACTTGACACCCAAGCTGTACGGACTTCCGGCCTCAGCAATGGCGGCTTCCGGCCCGGCCTTCCTCACTCATGGCGGCCGCCACCGGACGGAAGGCCGCACTCATAGCGGACTCCAGGGTACACGGACGGCGGCATAAACCATACTCGCTGCTTCAGTATACGCCGGTGCAGCCTGCGGGCTGCCTCAGTAAGCACTACCTGCCCCGTACGGGCCGCCTCGGTTCCGGAAGCAATGCCGTACGGACGGACTCACTCAGTCATGGCGGACTCCTACGTATGCTGCACCTACGTAACGGCGTACTCTCGCGAAGTCGCCCGGTCTCGCGGTACTTGACACCCAAGCTGTACGGACTTCCGGCCTCAGCAATGGCGGCTTCCGGCCCGGCCTGCCTCACTCATGGCGGCCGCCACCCGGACGGAAGGCCGCACTCATAGCGGACTCCAGGGGACACGGACGGCGGCAAAAACCATACTCGCTGCTTCAGTATACGCCGGTGCAGCCCGCGGGCTGCCTCAGTAAGCGCCACCTGCCCCGTACGGGCCGCCTCGGTTCCAGAAGCATTGCTGTACGGACGGACTCAGTCATGGCGGACTTCTAATGTATGCTGCACCTACGTAGCCGCCGCACTCTCGCGACGTCGGCCGGGTCTCGCGGTACTTGACACCCTAGGCTGTACGGACTTCCGGCCTCAGCAATGGCGGCTTCGGCCCAGCCTGCCTCACTCATGGCGGCCGCCACGGACGGAAGGCCGCACTCATAGCGGACTCCAAGGTACACGGACGGCGGCATAAACCATATTCCCTGCTTCAGTATATGCCCTGCAGCCCGCGGGCTGCCTCAGTAAGCACTACCTGCCCCGTACGGGCCGCCTCGGTTCCGGAAGCAATGCCGTACGGACGGACTCAGTCATGGCGGACTTCTACGTATGCTGCACCTACGTAACGGCGTACTCTCGCGAAGTCGCCCGGTCTCGCGGTACTTGACACCCAAGCTGTACGGACTTCCGGCCTCAGCAATGGCGGCTTCCGGCCCGGCCTGCCTCACTCATGGCGGCCGCCACTGGACGGAAGGCCGCACTCATAGCGGACTCCAGGGGACACGGACGGCGGCAAAAACCATACTCGCTGCTTCAGTATACGCCGGTGCAGCCCGCGGGCTGCCTCAGTAAGCGCCACCTGCCCCGTATGGGCCGCCTCGGTTCCGGAAGCAATGCCGTACGGACGGACTCAGTCATGGCGGACTCCAACGTATGCTGCACCTACGCAGCCACGCACTCTCGCGACGTCGCCTGCTCTCGCGGTACTTGACACCCAAGCTGTACGGACTTCCGGCCTCAGCAATGGCGGCTTCCGGCCCAGCCTTCCTCACTCATGGCGGCCGCCACCGGACGGAAGGCCGCACTCATAGCGGACTCCAGGGTACACGGACGGCGGCATAAACCATACTCGCTGCTTCGGTATACGCCGCTGCAGCCCGCGGGCTGCCTCAGTAAGCGCCACCTGCCCCGTACGGGCCGCCTCGGTTCCGGAAGCAATGCCGTACGGACGGACTCAGTCATGGCGGACTCCAGCCTTCAGAGCACTGCAATAATAGCTGACTTCGGGTTACAGGACGGTGGTTCCAAGGTACTGACCACCGCAGTGATGGCAGCCTCTAGGTTTCGGACTGACATGGTAAACGCACAGGTTCCCCATGTCAATGCAGCAGCCAACGCCTTCCTTTCTAGGCTGTGGCGGAAAGAGGTGCAAAATCTAGACCCGTGACTTCAGAGACGACGTGATTGCCGCCCTGGACAGCCTTGATATTTTGTGGGGGGCGGGGTTGTTCTTGTTTTTGTTTGTTTTTTCTCGGTAGAATTTTTTGTCTTGTTCAAACGGCACTAGCTGGGATTTCAGCACCACGGACAGAAGCACAAAGTGTTATTCCTTGAATGTCCACAAGATGGTAGCAGAGGATCGTTTTTGCATAGGAATTGGCTGACAGTCTTGTGGTTTGTGTAATAAGTACATAGATGCAGAGACGTGTACAGTATGATCGGTAACTTACTTGAAGGATAAATAAAACCAACCGTTTGTCCTATAAAACCAGAGTATATCTCTTCTCTAAACTATTCTAGAATCTTTTATTCAGAAAAACATGTGTTCACAAGTAATTTACTAGGAAAAGAAAATACTCTATTGAGGAGGAATGTGACAAGGTGTATGTGGAGAGAGAGGATGACGACGACAGTGTGTGGGATGGGTTTGAGCAGAGGAGTAATTCTCCGTGAATCTCTTGTGCAGGAAAACACAACAGGCATGGAAGAACTTTCTACAAGGCAAGCTCTGCCAGAACAAGGCCGGCCCCACACGCTGTGTACTGTCACTGCACACTGTGTGGGACCTGTGCCCTCTTTATTTGAAGAAAGGCATGTGTGTGTGATTGTCTACACTCCATGCAGACTTCCATCATCAGTGGAAAATACGGATTTCAAGTTACTTAATTGCAAGACCAGACTCAATGGTACACATTGAGTCAGCTGGAGCCCTTGGTCAGTTTAATCTCTTAGAGGCTCTTTTGTTACCATCTTTAAAAAAAAAATTCTTCCAATGCAGCAGTATAGAAGTCTTTTCAGTCTGAAAGCGGGTAGTGTATGCTGTTGTTCCATGAATGGCCACACGATGGCAGCAGAGTATCGTTTTGCTCAATAATGGGTTGACAGCTTCCTTTGAGGTCTAATGTAGTGAGTATATCGTCCCATGGACCTATACAGTATAATCAGTAACTTACTTGAAGCAAAATAAAAGCGTTTATCCTATAACATAATTGCATAAGTCTGCTCTATGTTTACATTCTAATAAGTCACAAAATAAGAGATGCTTGTTCTTAGCACATTTCTACAGGATTATCTTATCTTTCAGACAGGCATAGGTATCAAGCAGAACTCTTTGAGTTGCAAGAACACGTTCCAAAAGCACTGTCATTTTGCCCTTACTGGTTTGGCTCAGTGGATAGAGCATCAATCCTATGGACTGAAAGGTCCCTGGTTTGATTCCGGTCACAGACACATGCCTGGGTTGCAGGTTAGGTCACCAGTAGGTGCCTGCAAAAGGCAGCCTATGGATGATTCTCTCTCATCATTGATGTTTCTATATCTCTCTCCCTCTCCCTTCCTCTCTGAAATAATAAAAAAATATATTTACTCTCTCTCCATATATATATATATATATATATATATATATATATATTTATATATATATACTGTTTCAACACCAAAGTATTAACTGGAATTTTTTGTTCGGAAAAAAATATGTTTACAACTAATTTACTATCAGAAAAAAGTACTCAGTAATAATAACCTAATTTCACAGAAGTAACTTTAAAAAATAGGACGCAATATTGGAATTTACTAAGATACTGGAAGGGGCGACTCATTTAGATGCTGCTGAAATTCAATCAAACAGCCACCACGGACCTCAGCATTGAAGTGTCCGCGATGGTGTAGGCATCTGAGTTGCTAACCATGTTCATGGTGACTGACTCCTGAACCGTCTGCTCCACCACAGTCAGAGTCCTGCAGATATTCACTCTGACCTCCCTAATTCGCTCTTTTCGATCTCTCTGTGTCTCGCGGTACTAACACGTAGTCATGATACCCATGCGTCTCGTGGTACCCTCAATAATGACAGCCTCTCCAGTACTGATTGTCTCCATAATGGCTGGCTGCCTCAATAACGTCCGCCTACAGGATACTGATTGTGTCAATCATGACGGTGGCAGGGCTCTGCCACTGCGCCTGCGTGGGAAACCAGCGTCGCTCTCAAAAACAGTAACCCCACCCGCGTTGCTAAGCAATAATGAGACAGCAAATGCTAGGGGAGCTGGCGTGCCCTCTAGTGGTGGGAAGGCGCAGGCGCAGGCACAGGCTGGGGCCAGGACTCCTGTGCAGGCTGGGAGCTGTGGATGGACGGAGGGAAGGAAAGATGGACAGAAGAAAGGAAGGAGAAAAAAAGAAAGGAAGAAGGAAGGAAGAGTGAACAGATAAATAGCTGGGGCTCCCAAGAGTGAAGGAAACTTGGGCTGGGCAGGCTGACAAAGCAAGATCAGATGCTCAGCGACAGTAACCCTCCTGAGACTGTCCCAAAGGGGGACTGGCTTTTTTTTTTTTTAATTGTTGTAGAGAGGAAGGGAGAGAGGGAGAGAGCTCTTCTAAGTTTTGATATGTCGTATTTTCATTTTCACTTGTTTCAAGGTACTTTATAATTTCCTTTTTTTTCTTTGACTCATTGGTTGTTTAAGAGTGTGATTTTTAGTTCCACATATTTGTGAATTTTCCCTCACAATCAAACCCTCACTTTTAGGGTCAAATGACTTATAATCAAATATGGAAAATGTTAGGTCTGATCAAATAATTGAATCGATACCCACTCTCCTGGGAACTGAACTTTGGGACACTTCACAATGGACATTCCACTTGCTTAGACCATTCTCTCTCCCCTCTGGAGTTTCCCAGAATCCGGACCTGCCCAGAGAATGATCCGCCCAGAAAAAGCCTGCCTGGAGTCCTTTAAAAACCTGCGGCTCCCCATCTTTGGGTGCAGGAGCCATGTGGGCCTCCTGCGTTCCTCCTTTGCGACCTTAACACAAATAGAGTACGTGAACTTGAAACAAATTTAGAATCTGATCATTCGAACATGCCTGCCGTATCCGAGTGTGGTTCTAATGCTTGCTCTGTCCCTTCAAACTGTTTTTTGCCTTTTGGTGTGGCTTGTAATATTTACAGAAAGCTATTTCATGTCCTGGGTGAAAGAATTCGTGGTAACTGTTCTGCATCGATGAGGCGGTAAGGTGGGGGGAGGGGGAGCACTTCTTAGTCCATGAACTTTGGATTCGACGCCCTCACTCCACTCAGCCTTTCACTCGATGTGTAGCTTCATGGGCATCCGAGAGGTTTCTGTGTCCAGTTCAGAGTCAGGCTTTCCTCTCTCAGCCATTCCCACAAGCCTGGCCACGCGCGTCCCGGCTCAGAAGGCGGTGGTTGGAGCTGGGTGATCACGGCAGGGACCCGTGTGGGTCTCTGGCGGCGGGGACTGGTCGATCCGAGGGCCCGCCGCCGACCGCCTGTGGCCGTGGCACGCAGGTGTGCGCTCTCTCGGGGTCCTCCAAAGTCCCTTCCGCAGCTCATCACACGCACCTCCCGACCCCGTAGAGGCTCGGGTCAGGGGGCGGCCCCCTAAACCTGCACCCTTCCCGGGGGCACTTTCGCCAATGGGAGCGGAGCGCGTTCCCTTCCAGCCCTGGCGCAGGGCGCGGCGCTGGGCGGGAGGGAGGAGCGCCAGGAGGAAGGGGCCGAGCCGGGAGAGCCCCCGCCCCGGGAGGATGAGGCGGAGGCGGGTGTTTCCTGGCGCATTCCCGGCCCGCCCGAGTGACTCACTCCGGCTGGAAACTCCCAGGCCCGCCCGGGACCCCCCAGCCGCCGCCGCTGCGGACCCAGGTTAGCGCCGATGCCGCCCCGCCTCGCGGCCCTGCGGGTTCCAGGCCGCCCTGGGAACTGGGACAGGCGCCCCGCCGGCGGCCGAGGACTTGGCCTCCGGCGACGCGGCCTCGCCCGCCGCACGGCCTCGGGACC